GATGTGGGGATGGCCTTCAAGGGCAAACACGGAATGGCTGTGGGACAGGGACAACGGCACAAATCCTCCGCTCCGGGAACTCCAACCCCACTTACCCCTGGCTTCCCTGAACACCTCCAGCGCCTCGGGGTTGACTCTGACCCTCGCCGTGGACTCCACCGCCAAGGCCTCCAGCTTGACCAGGCTGAGGTCGGCCCCGAAGTCGACGAGCAGGCGGACGAAGGCGGCGTCGCAGCCGTGGCGCAGCACGGCGTCCATCACGCACACGGGCGAGCCCCGGGAGAAGCCCTGCAGGTTGACGGGCCCGCAGCAGTTGAAGTCGGGATCGGCTCCCGCCCGGAGCAGCAGCTGGAAGCACGGCAGGTTGTGGTAGGCGGCGCTGATGTACAGCGGGCACACCACCAGCGTGGTGAGGGGCCGCGAGCAGTGGCCGCGGGCGGGCGGGTGGTGGTTCACGTCCACGTCCGCGCCGTACCTGCGTGGGCACAGGGAGATGAGCGGGTCTGGGAAACGCCCAGGGGAGAACCCTGCCTGTCTCCGGCACCTCTGGGCCCCGCCAGCCATGAGGTGCCGCGCTCAGGTGGGTCTGGAGGGGTTTGGGATTAGGGACGACCCGCCCGGCCGCAGGAGGATCTTCCGCAAGCAAAGCTGGTTTTGCCAGGATTTGGGAAGAGGAGGAGCAGCTGGGAAACATCTTCCCTTGCCCTCCTGCACTGGGTTGGCATGGCCAGGTTTTGCTAGTTGGGGAAGGGGGAAGGGCTCCAAGGGTGTTTTTTCCAGCAGCTTTTCCATGTCCGGCAATTCCAGCTCCAGGACTGACCTGCCACTGGCCAAGGCAGAGCCCATCAGGAATGAGAGCAATACCTCTGGGATAACACATTTAAGGAGGAAAAAAAAAAATAGATGGAAGATGAAACTGGAGCAGTTCCTGAAGGACTGACCCCATGGAAGAGTGGAGGCACTAATTCCATCTCCTTCCCACACAGCTTGGATGGGAAGAAGGAGGAAGTCACCCCAATCCCTAAGGAATGGCTGGTTTTAACCACTGTAGACCGAGCAAAGCCCTGCCCCTTCTCCCCACAGAGGGATAAAAGATTCCCTCACCCACCAATTCCCCTCCCCAGATTGCAAACTGGGTGCTCAGAGATCCTTCTGGCTTCCTAGACACCATTATATCCCTTGCAGGAGCTGATAAAAACAAGGAAGATCCCAGGGGACAAACCCTGCCTCAGAACAAGCCCAGTTCTCGCTGAGACCAGCAACTCTTCAACCAAATCCTTCAATTTTGAGGGGGGAAAGAGCCCCAGGCACACCTAGAACCAGGGCTGAGACTTCTCCAAGAGCTGCCAATGGCACAGAGCGGATTTTCCGCTTGAAATCAGATCCCAGGAGCATTTGGATGGAGTGCCACTTCCATAGGGTGACCTCCTGAGCAGGGAGCAGGTATCCCTTAATTTCAGTCCTTTTTCCCCCCCCCCCAAAATCCGCAGAGGAAACCCTCAATTCCGAGCAAAACCCCAAATTCCGCTTTGTCAGAGTCAGACAGGCCCCTGAAGCAGCAGGGGGATGTGCCAGCTCTCCTTTTTCCCTGTTTTAACCTGGAGAAAGGATCCTCTCGTCCTTGCCGGATCAGCCACTGCAACCCATCCTGTCACCAGCCGTGAGGGAAGTCATCTCCCCCCAAAATATTTCCACCAGCTGCCTCCTGAACTGGATCACCATCCCAGAGATGTGTGGATTTACCATCAATGGATCCTATTCCCCCTCCTCCTTGGGTCGGGAATGCTCAGGGATCCCGACTGTGCCACGGGGTGTGATTTTAAACTCAGAATTAACCAGCTGAGGTTTATACAGCCTGACTCAGCTGGGCTGTCTGGGGCCTGCAATATTTCCTTATATCCCAGGAAAAGTGTCCCTTCCCCATGGCATTCCCTCTGCCAGCTCCAGAACCTCGGAGAGAGCTGCACCTTTAACTAAGTCACTGCCTGGACCTGTGAAATCCCTGCTCAGGGATATCTGACAGTTTGGGCAATCTGACAGTTTGGTATTAACTGAGCAGCCTTGGGGAGACATTCCCAAATAAAAAAATGAAAAAAAAAAAGGGACTGGACAAACTCCAGTTCATTTTTAAGCCTGAAAGTTTTCCAGAAATCTTGCTTTTAATATTGCTGGCAAGGTATTCTGAGGAGCAGACACATAAATCAAGGCACCAGCTCTCCCTGGGCTGCTGAAAATCCCATTTGCTGCATTCCAGCCTGACTCTGTGGGGAGTGGATCAGGGGAGATTTTTGGGAATCAACAAGCCCAGGGTGAAGAAGGACCAGCGGGACACCTCTGGATGCACAGCTAGGGATGATCTCCTGCTTGATGTCCATCTCTCCTTTACCCCCCCAGCTCTTTTCTGCTGCTTCCCATCTCCCTCCCTCACATTTACTGTGCCCTAAAATCCCTGTTGTGGATTCGGCACGGGGCCCGAAATCCCCACATCTGCTGCCACACCTGGATTTGGGCAGAGGCACCTCTTGATAACCACACCATGACAACCCCTGTCCCCACTCCAGGCTGTCCCTGACCTCCCACCTGAGGAGCTCCTGCAGGATTTCTGTGCCATAACCACCCCCATCCCCACTCCATGGTGTCCCCAGCTCCCACCTGAGGAGCTCCTGCAGGATGTCCAGCCCTGTCCCCACACCAGGCTGTCCCCAGCTCCCACCTGATGAGCTCCTGCAGGATGTCCAGCCCTGTCCCCACTCCAGGGTGTCCCCAGCTCCCACCTGATGAGCTCCTGCAGGATGTCCAGCCCTGTCCCCAGCTCCCACCTGATGAGCTCCTGCAGGATGTCCGCCCGCCCCACTCTCGCCGCGTGGTACACGGGAGTGCTGCGGTGGTGGCGGCTCCCGTTGGGATCAGCCCCGGCCTCCAGCAGGATCTTGGCGCACTCCAGGTGCCCGTTGACCACGGCCACGTAGAGGGCTGTCTGTCCCTTGACGTCCACCAGGTCGATCTCGGCCCCTTTCTGCAGCAGGAAGTCCACGCAGGGCCCGTGGCCGGCGGTGGCCGCGATGCGCAGGGGGGTGCAGGGCAGCCACCCGCAGCACCACACCGACTTCTCGTTGATCCGGCTGCTCCACGGGGAGAACTGGGCGTCAGAGAGGCCTTCCAGCTCCCAGAGGGGACGCTGGCACAGCCCCAAGTGCCCCCTGCCACACGGGCACTGAGCAGGCTCCCCGGGGCGGCGGTCTCAGGGCTGTCTGGTTTGGACATCGCCCTCAGGGACAGGGTGGGATTGTTGGGGTGGCCTGGGCAGGGCCAGGGGTGGGCTCAGGTGATCCCTTCCAGCTCAGGACATCCCAGCATTTTTGGCACTTTTTTAGCAGCCCTGAAAAGCCCCTGTCAGTAACCTGAGAGGTGCTGGACGGAGACACAGCCGGGAGCAGGGTCTGGAATTTGGGCTTGCTCCCAGCTCTGCCCCAAAACTCAGGCAAAGTCAGCAGTAAAGAATATAAACCACTGCCCTACTCCCCTTTGGCAGGGAAATAGCCCACATTGCTGGCTGCCCCGCCCCTGGAAGTGTTCAGGGCCAGGCTGGAGCAACCTGGGACAGTGGAAGGTGTCCCTGGCCATGGAACAGGATGAGCTTTAGGGGATCTCCCAACCCAAACCAGTCTGTGATCCCATGGCTCCATGAAATCAGCAGTGACCAAGCTAGGGATCACAACCAAGCTGCTCCAAAGGGTGCAGAAAGCCACCAAAGCAGCAGGGAAACGGCAAGAGGACACGGGAGAAAGGGAGAAAGGTACGAAAAATATCGGGATGCAGCTGTGTCACAGCACCAGCAACACCCACGCTCAGCCAGGGACCACGGCATGACATCATCATAAATCCAGGGAAACTCAGTTTGGGAGGTGCAGCCATCCTAAGAAAGGGCATCCAACCCTTGCTGGATGGCTGGACAGGGCTAAGGGCCTCTCCCAATTTACAGGAGGAGATGGCTCTGGAAAAGGAGCAGTATAACCCCCCACATCGAGCCCTAAGCTGCTGAGTCTTAAAATCAAAGAAGTGCTCCCTTTATCCCTGGGGATTTGGGGAATGCCAGATCCACCCCCACAAAGACATCCCTTCCCTGCTCCCTCCATCACCTGTGTGACGGTGCTGTGGGCCCAGCCCTCCTCTTCCTGTCAAACTCTGCTTTTTTCCTGCACAGAACCCCTCAGACCAAGGGTCCAAAGAGCCCCAGCTCTCCCCCAGGGGGCAGAAAGAGGGTTTGGCTCATTCTCCTTTATTTGCTGAATTGACACTTTTTTTGAGGCCAGGACACACAGCCCTCCAAGCAGATTTCTCCATGGTGCAGGAAAATTAATTAACTATCCCCAGGGTTAGCACTGGGCAGAGTTTGTAACATGGGGTGTTTGGGGTTTATAGCTGATTGTAATTCCTTCTGTGTGTTTTTCCCGCTATCCATGGGCTGCTGTTTTCACATGGGATCACATTCCTGCCCTGATCTGAAAAGAGTCTGTGCACGGCCACCACACTCTGGTGTGAGATCCGTGTCCTGGGAGACCAGGGGGGATGATCTGGGGAGGGGTGAATGGAGCATCCTCCCACCCTGACACCTCTCCCACAAAAACCCTCATCCCTGGAAGTGTCAGGTTGGAGGGACGTGGGAGTTCAGTGGGAGGTGTCTCTGCCCATGGCAGGGGGTGGGACTGGATGAGCTTTAAGGGCTCTCCTGACCCAAACCACTCTATGAAAAGCAGGTTGAGATGACAGTCCCTAAAGGTGCAGGCTGTGGGGACAGAGACAGAGCATCCTTGAAGACACGTCTCCCCCAAAAATGAGGTGAAACGGGGGTCCCCAAAAGGCACAGGCTGTGGGGATGGAGCGTGGAGCATCCTCCCACCCTGACACCTCTCCCGTTAAAACCCCTTCCCTGGAAGTGTCCAAGGTCGGCTTGGAGCAACCCGGGCTGGTGGGAAGTGTCCCTGCCCGTGGCAAGGGGCGATGGAACGAGATGATCTTTAAGGTCCCTCCCAACCCAGCCCGCTCTGTGCGCACCGGGGTGCGATGGGGTCCCCAAAAGGCGCCGGGACGCACCATCGCGGCACCCGCGGGACCCCTCGAGGGTCTCCCCGCCCTCAGCCCCGGGAGCTCTCCTCACCTCTGGAAGCTCTCGTCCTGGAGCAGGCTGCGCAGGGTGGGCAGGTCCCCCACGAAGGCGGCGTCGTGCAGCCGGGTGTCCTCGCAGTGCTCCAGGGGGTGGTCGCAGAACTGTTCCCGCAGCCATTCCTTCAGGTTCCGACCTGCGCTGGAGGGAGACACGGCGGGGAGCCGGGATGAGCCCCGGGATGAGCCCCGGGATGAGCCCTGCGTGCGTGTCCCGGCACAGCCCCCCGAACCCCCCCTGCCCACGGTACCTGCCCGGGGCGGCCGGGGGGTCCCCGCCCTCCGCCATCTCTCCCCGCCGGCCCCGCTCGCCCTCCCTCCCCCCGGCCCTCCCTCCCCGTCTCTCTCTCTCTCCCTCCCTCCCTCTCTGCCTTCCCGGCCTGATTGGCGCCCGGCCGCTTCCTGCCTGGGCGTTAAGGTGGATTTTCCCGGCGCTCCGGGGGCATCTCCCGAGCCTTTCCTCCTTCAGCGGGAGGAGCCGCCGCCAGCGCCTCAGCATCCCCCGTGCTCCTCCGGGAACCGCGGCTCCTGCTTCCAGCGACGCTCCGCGGAGCAGCTGGGGGGGGGAAAAAAGACCCTTTCCTGATCTCCGTCCTGACCCTCCCCTGGCGCAGCTCCGGCCGTGCCCGCGGGTCCCGTCCCTGTCCCGCAGAGCTGCCCCCCGGGAGACCCCGGTGGGTCTCCGCTCCCTTCTCCTGCTGAACAATCCCAGTGCCCTCAGCCGCTCCTCAGCCGGCTCCACCTCCAGACCCTGCACCACCTTTCCTCGGACACTCCGATAGCTCTGCATCCTCCTTACCGCCCTGGCACGGAGCGTTTAAAACACGCCCTCGCCCCCGAGTGCCCGGGTTTGAGTGCCCGCTGCCAGCGGGGAATGGGGGGGGTGGCTCCAACCCCTTCCCTTTGCCCGCTGGAACAGCAGAAGCGGATTGGGATGGATGGGAATCTCAGAAACCACCTTCCCCTGCCTGCAGCCCTTATGCCATTAGATGAGGCAAAACTGAGGCCAGGAATTCCTTCCTCGGTTTCCAGCCCCAGTTTACAGCTCTGTCCCCCTCCACGTCCACTACAGCAGCCGGGCACATCCCGTGTCCCTGGTGGCAGCACAAGACAGACCAGAGCAGCTTTCCAGCCCCTGCATCCCTTACAGGCTGAATGGGAGTAGATTTAATGGGAATAGATTTAATGGGAATAGATTTAATGGGAATAGATTTAATGAGCTCCTCCAGCTGCAAAGTGTGCCCAGCAACAGGGGCTCATCCAGAGGAAAAAGCATTTTTGTCCGTGGGCTTTTATTTCCTTCAGAGTTGACTCTTCTCCCTGAGGACAGAGGGGAGAAAGGGGAGCAGAGCACACAGCAGTGTTTACTTGCATTATGGTTGCTGTCCCTGTGGACAAAGCAGAGCCCCAGAGAGGAATAAAGTGATGGATAAACAGGGCAGACGAAGCTGGAATCGCTCATGGTTTGAGGCTCCTTCAGTTCCACAGC